TATTGAACTGAAAATTTCGCTGGTTAAACATCGGTTTGGCATGTTTATCGGCGAGAATTTTGCAAGAACTCTGAAGGTTTGAGTTTTTTACTGAGAGAGAGAAAGAAGAGATGCACAACAAAGGAGAATGAGTGGAATGACACAGAATTTTTGTTGTTCCTCTTTTCGGTCACGGGATTTGTAAACCCTTAAAGTGGAGATGAGCTTTCATCAATAATGGACCTTTTTTTATTGTTACAGAAATATTGATTTGTCTATTGGACCAATAGCGATTACATGATTCTTTTATTTTTATTTTTATTTTTTTGTTAAAAAATGTGTATTGAGTTCAATTTGAAAATTATTTTTTCGGGGCTTCACCAAATCGGGCTCATTAAACAAATACTTACTGAGAATATCGGCCAACGTCACCTTTATAAATTTTTTTAATACAAAAATTAAGCCCAATTCCCCACATTTTTTTAAACAAATAGCCTTACTCATAAGGGTTTGGAGATAATGATAACGTGGTGATGGTGATTCTGATATGAAACCATGAATACGTATATAAAGAAGAGTTTAATAATATTTAAAACAATTTCTTAATTCATATTTTTTCATGAATTAAATTATGAAATTTGTTTTTTTTATGTTGTTTTCTTTTCATGAATTAAATTATGAAATTTGTTTTTTTTTTTATGTTGTTTTCTTTTCTACGTATTCTCTTCCGTGCAAATGCACGAGATGAGTACTAGTAATAATAATTGTTGGAAAGCTTCAATAAATTTTATTCATCCATCAACTAATAATAATAGTTGTTTATTTAATAAAAATAGGTGTTCATTTAATAAAAATATGATCACCATTTAATAAAAATAGGTAACTTTTTGTTACATGATTTTTTTATGATATTTTCCATTTTTGTGGTGCATTTTTGTAACGTCCTTTTATATCCTAAAATACAATTTTTTTTTATTTTAATATTATATAAATTTGGGTATTATATAAATACATATTTCGCATCTAATTACGAATGACTACAAATATCTCTATTTTATATTGCAATCATACAATAATAAAAAAAAATATTTTTTTTTTAAATATTACGAAGATACATCAAATACTTTATCAAATCTCATGAAATAAAATCTTTCACTGCTCATGCAAAAAAGTCATGCAATATATTTAAAAAATTTAATATTATATACATAAATATAACTTATAATACATCATGTTTAAAATTTAATATCATTATTTAATTTATAATAATAATATTATATGTATATAAATAACTTATAATATTTTATTTACGTTGTTTTATCCATATATTTGTAATTCGAATGATCACAGATAAATATGTTATAGATTGATCACATATAAAAATAAATAAATAAAAATAAACAAACATATATAGGGACACACATGTGCATCAACATCATTAAGCATTAACATGGCAAAGTAAAGTAGACAAGTTTGCATTATTGTTTTGGTTCCTCGTTTTGTGCCGCCAAAAGTTGATGAATGATAGGCATCCTTTGCCTTTTCCCTCATCTCTGCACGTGCTTGTCATCATCATCGTCACCTTCTTTTTCTTCCTTCCCTCATTTCTTTCTTCTCCCATTTCTTTCTCTTCTACCTTCTTATGATCCACCTATAAGTATTCATCACTCTAGAAATCAATGTAAAATTACCATGGAACTTGGTATGTTTAACAATTTTATGGTAGTCCGTGTGTGACTATGGTTATGTTTCGTAAAACTAGCTTATAGTTTATCAGTACTTTTCGAGCTCATAGCTTATGACTTGTAACTGAAAAACTAGCTTATATGATAAAAGTATTTGGTAAAATTAGCTGATAAGTTGGCTGAAATAAAAATTTCAACTGGCTTATTTGAAAAGCTGCCCAAATATGCTTATGAGATAAGTTCGTCCTACCGAACGAAACTTATTTAAATACAGGAAATTTATAAGATAACTAAAATAAACTATAAGCTAGCTTATTTGTCTGCAAAAAAACATAGCCTATAATAGGACTAATTAAAATGATATATAAATAGTTGAGGGAATTCAAAAAGTACCTTATCCTCTGAGATCAGTGTTTTGGAGGTAACAATTGAGTCTCTATTTTCTTCTTCAACAATTGGCTTAATTGATTTATCTTCAATTGAAGGATTTGGAGATGGAAATGGACTCTCATAACTGAATTTGATTTGTGTACCAACATCTCTTGTTGTGCTCCTTTTTTCCTCTGCATTCATTAACAATTACATGTCTAATATGACTGAAGAAAGACTAACATCTATCTCTATCACTATATATAAAATCTGTAAGAAACGGGTGAATAACGGGTGCGGTTCCACGCACGTGAAGCACACCATAAGCAGGGAAACCCCAAATGAAGTCAAAGTGGGGTTCCATCCGAAAACCAATTAGTGGAAAGAGGAGTAGCCCATTAGACTTATAAATTAGATCTTCTTTTTCTATATAACCGATGTGGGACAACTCGTAAGTTAATATTCTAATATATTTAGTAAATGTAAATCTAGAGACCATCTTTTTTTAACACATCAAGAAATTTAACAGTAGTTACTTTGGATTGCCACTATTTTGACTTGATTTTGACTGTCATTGGTTGATGAGTTTGTCTGAAAATGATGCAACTGAGAAGAAATTTTGCTTCTTGTAATTAGGCTTTGAGATGATGAGGTTCCACTTAGAGCTTTTGATGATAGGCATTGCAAAGGAACTTGTCCTGACAGGGGATTGCATATGTATTTTTCTGCATCATTCCACTTGGAATTGAGAGTTAATCCTCCATTATCTGGTGATAAATATTCCCATGTGTTACTATACACTGTTCTTGCTTGTAATGCTGCACCAAAATTAACCAAAAAAAAAAAAAATAAAGAAAAAATAAAAGTCAGATCAAGAAAGCAATCAACAAGACCTTCAA